TTAAATGTTAAATTTCGTGTAGCTTATTGAGAAGCTCTTTTGTGATTGCTCAAAATGTCTAGAGTGCGAAGAATTCGATGGGTGTCCCAGCTAAGTGACTTTGAAAGGGGTCGAATTGTCGAGTTGCGAGAAGCCGGTCCATATAAAAGACGTTTTTAGGAGGACCAACAGATCCTTACGCAGTATACTTCAGTGTGAAGGAGCATGGACTAAGGAAGAATGAGGACAGCGACCGAGGGGTTCTGGACGTCCCAGAGGGACCACAGAGCGACAAGACCGCCGGTTAAGACTTCTGGCTCTGAGAGACAGATTGAGTATAGTCAACGCCAAACAAAGTGGCGTGCACGTCATCACGATAAAAATTCCCCGACCTAATGCCTAGGTTTCTATCACAAACAATTGCTCTATTGCAGTTTCATATTAATGTGATATATAAATTGTAAAATGGTCATTACTCTCTTATTATGGTTAATAGTCATATAAACATTGTTATTAAAATATCACATAAGTTGCTTTCTGATAAATTTAGACGCATTATGCGAAATAAAATGTTTTGCAAACGCTCCAATCACTTATCGACATGTAAACGCACTAAACCGATTTCGCAGCGTTGACACATTGTCACCTTGAAACTTATTTAAACTGGGAACTGACATTTGTATTAATTTTGACACTGAATCAATTTGTGGCATTTCAAATCTTTATAAATCCTTTGGCTCCGCATACTGTAAATCAACAACTGTTTGTTTCAAAACAAAATTATTCATTTTACGAGTAGATAAAGGCAATTTTGGTATATAAAGATGCCCAAACAGTTAAATAGTCGGTGTAAGGAACTCGTGGCCTCGTTAATGCACTACTTTGAGCAAGAAAGGGACAACAACGGGCCTTTGTTGCCTTTAAATGCTGTTCAAGAGGTAGGTTACTAATAATTATATGTAATGTATATTAATAATAGTGAAATTTTATTTCATTTTTTGTAGCGTGTTGCTGCTGCTTTAAAAATTAGTTTAAGGACAGTTAGTCGTATTTCCGAGGGTGTGAAAAGTGATGCAAATTTAGAATCGCCCAAGAAAAAGCGGAGTTATATTAAACGTGTAACCAACACAGCGACATTGGATACAAGTGCCATTCGAGAAGTGATCTATAATATGTATCACAAAAGTAAGATCTTATTATAATAACTTATCAGAAATTTGCATTAATTTGTTAACTAAATTATAATGTCATATTACACATGGTTTCAGAAGAACAAGTTACGATACAAACTTTATGGTCTCGATTAAGAGATAGGGCATTATTTGATGGTAGTGCCACGTCTTTAAGGCGGTTGCTTAGAGATCTTGGATTTAAGTGGCTTAAGGACAATCCGCGACGAGGGCTCATGGAACTACCAAGTATAGCTTTGAAAAGGGTGGAATTTCTAAGGCAATACAATCAAGCCAAGGTTGAGGCCTTATACCAGTTTGTCTTCCTCGATGAAACTTGGATATTTCAAAATGGGACCATAGGTCGCTCTTGGCAAAATGGAAACCAAAAAAGCGTGAAAGCTATTAAAACAGATGGTAAAAGGTATGTACTTTTACACAATTTGCACTATAAAATTTAAAACTAATATATTTTAGATACATTATATTACTTGCTGGAAATGAAAATGGGTTTATTGAGGGTAGTGAAGCGATATTTTCTTCGAAAACAAAATTGAGCGATTACCATGGAGAGATGAATCAGGACAATTTTTTGAAATGGTTTCAACATCAGTTATTAGAAAAATTGGAGAGTCCATCTATGATTATACTGGATAACGCCCCTTATCACAGCATGATATTGAACAAAGTGCCCAACAATGCATGGACAAAAAAAAATATCCAAGACTGGTTGACAAATCAAAACATACCATTTTTAAACACAATGTTTAAAACAGAGCTATTGAGTATTGTTGCTCGGTACATAATGCTTCTTAATTATATATATTTTGGTCGACAGTTTATATTTCTTTTGTTTATTCCTATTCTTAAAATAACTGCTTTTTTAGAAACAAACCACCTAAAATATACGTAGTCATGCCATAAGTTCTGTCCCTCGTTTTCAAACAAGTGTAGACCTGTTAATACTTGTCCGATTGTTTACATTGTGGTGTCAGTTGATTAAGCGCTTTTCGGGTAATTACATATACCTCAGTTTGTATTGATCTCTCGAAGCATAACGATGGAGTGGGGCAAGGCAGAGAACCGTATTGCAGTGATAGCTTTACATAAGTGTAATCACAGTGCTAGTCAGATTTTTGAACTCTTACGCGGCCTTCAAATATCGCGTAAATTTGTGTCTAGGACCATTCAGCGGTACAATGAGACGTCCTCTGTTGATGACAGGCCAAGAAGCGGAAGACCTCGTCAAGTAAGGACTCCAGCAGCCATCAAAGCCGTAAAAGCCAGGATTCAAAGGAATCCACTCCGGAAGCAGAAGATCCTATCCAGGGAAATGAAGATTCCTGTCCGGACGATGTCGCGCATCATTAAACAAGACCTAGGGCTAGGGGCTTACCGGAGACGTACGGGCCAGCGACTTACGGCCACCTTGCGACACATCAGGGCGACAAGATCCAAGAAGCTCTTGGAGAGGTACGCAGCTGGGGGATTCCGAAAGATTTTGTTCACGGATGAGAAAATCTTCACCATAGAAGAAAAATTCAACCGACAAAATGACAAAGTGTATGCAAGGAGTTCACAGGAAGCTTCGGAGATCATTCCGAGAGTTGAGAGAGGCCACCACCCTGCGTCAGTCATGGTTTGGTGGGGTTGTCCTACGAAGGGGTCACTCAGCTCCATTTCTGTAAACAGGGCGTGAAAACAAAAGCGGCAAACTATCAGAGCGACATACTGGATCCTATCGTCAAGCCTTTAAGTGGTACATTGTTTGCCAACCAACACTGGGTCTACCAGCAGGATTCCGCCCCCGCTCACAAGGCTAAGAGTACGCAGCGCTGGCTGGAAAGCAATGTGCCAGAGTTCATTGCTGCGGAAGATTGGCCCTCAGGGAGTCCGGACCTCAATCCTTTAGACTACAAGTTGTGGGACCTGCTAGAGCAGTTGGCCTGCTCCAAAGCCCACCGTAATATCGAGTCCCTGAAAGCGGATTTGATCCGATCAGCGGCAGCTATTCCTTTGGAAGCTGTGCGTGCAGTGATAGATGAGTGGCCCGCGAGATTGAAGCAGTGTGTGAAGGCCAAGGGGGGACATTTTGAATAAAACTGTTTGATTATGAATTCTAAAAATGTTGTCGAATAAATAATATCTTTCATATAAATATATCTTATCTTGTTTCATTTTTATCATGAGATTATCATGGGACAGAACTTATGGCACGACTACGTACGTGATTGATGAATTGGCGGAACAACATGGGCACAAAGTTCTTCGTCTGCCTCCTTACCATTGTATATTTAACCCTATTGAGTTAATTTGGGGCATAGCAAAAGGTTACTATAACAGACATATTGGTAGAGATGGTAACAGTGAAAAAGACTGTTTGGATATGTGGAACGAGGCTCTACAAACGGTTACCCCAGACATGTGGAAAAATAGTGTTCGACATACTGAGCAAGAAATTTTTAAATGGTATGAAAGAGAACGAATTTTTGATCGACCAGACATCGAACCTTTAATAATCAACTTTGAGAGTGATGAAGATTCAGATTCAGACAGCGCTGAAGAAAGAAACTCCGACTAACTTTATTGTACAGAAAAAGCTTACACCAGTAGCTTACCTAATTTTAGAATGCATTTTTCTGTATGAATTCTGTAAAATAAATACCATGCATAAAATTTGGAGGACCCCATTTGGATTTTTATTCAGTACCTTTAAGCTATCAATTAAATATGGTAGTTTCATAGTGTCATCTGATCAATAATTGTCATACTTAATGATTATGCAAGTACAGATCTATAATTTTATTATACTATTATTTTTGTTCTCATTTGAGGTTAATATTGCTTATAAACCTAGATATGTAAATAATAAATTTTATTATTTTACAAAAAGTTTGGCGTTGATTATAGTACTCGAGCCTACGCTAATCAGTAGTTTGAAGAGCATGGAAGGATGGTTGGTATGCGTACGGTATATCGCCGAATACGACAGTTTGGCCTTTTTTCTTATCGCCCACATTGGGTGCTACCTCTCACAGATGAACATCGGCGTAACCGTTTGCTCTGGTGTAGAGAAATAATTATATGGGACCGGGAATGGAATCAGGTGGTCTTTAGTGTTGAATTCCGCTTCTATCTGGGGATGCACGATGGTTGGGCAAGAGTGAGAAGGCGACGTGGTGAAAGACTTGACACGCATATTGACAGAGAGCGTCACGTTCACCGCACCGTGGGAGTTATGGTATGGGGTGCTATTGCTTATGGTAGCAGATTACCACTAATTTTCATCAGAGGCAATATAACAGTCCGACGCTAGATTCAGGAAGTAGTGGAACCTCATCTTATTCCATACATACACTGAACATATATGCAAAAAATTATTGAAATCGGATAAACATACCGTGTTTACCTTTTTTTGTCACTTAGTATATAATTCCATTAACAACAATCACTTTATTGAGTGTTCTTTTTCTTTTTCACCGAGTATATTTTTCTGCTCCCAATGAGAAAATTTTCAAAAACCCTTGTGATTTATGATTTGAATAAAGGCTGGGTAATTCCTAATCTGACATTTGACACTACGATCTAATGAGGCTTCCAAACGATTCACGACTCATAGATCCAAATCCAGCGTCAATTTTGCTGTGACCATCGCGGGCTCACAAGCCACATATTTTGCTTTTACTATCTTCTATATGTATAGTAACTACAGTGCTCTTGCAGACTATTTCATCGAATTCCCAGAAAAATTAATAAATCATTTGATGAAAATGGTAGTTAATTAATAACACTAGTTGTAATAGTTATATTTTCAATAGTACATATTATTAACGTAGCATCTTGCACTTTCAGAGTTAGCTAGAAAGTTCCAAAGGGATTGTAATTTACTGAAGTCTCGTAGCGAGGAAAACGAATTTGATCTCACGGAAGAATCTATAATGGAAAACATTTATTATATTGACGTTACCTCTGGAGATGATCTTCTTTCATGTATATTCCTACTTGACAACTATCTTGAAGGGAAAAATGTAAGTTAACTAAAATCTGCAGTAGTAGCTACAGAGATCATGTTATGGATTTTACTAACGGATTACGGATTTCTTTCATATTCATTTATCTACAGTCGATGCAACTAAGCATTTTTACAGATTCGTTTGTTAGTGGTCGACAGTATAACACAGCCATTGAAGACCATGGAAATTAAAGTTCGATTGGGATTGATAAATAAACTGTTTCAACAACTCAGGATCTTGGCAAGCCAGTTCGACCTTGCGGTACTTTGTGAAATTTTGAGTAAGAATGTAATCTAATCTAATATTCATTATAGGTTATCCTCACAAATGACTTAACAACCAGGGTTAATGAAAGAGAATCTATAATCGCATCATCATTTGGGGACAGCTTCTATCATATGGTCAATTCTAGGATTATTTTCTCGAAAAATGATGCTACCTTTCATGGCAGACTGCTAAAAAGCATAAGCAATGTACAAGTTGAAGCTGATTTTTATCTGTGAAGTTACATTTCTTGACACCAGCCACATGAAAATTTAGCCAAACAGTACAAAACTCCAATTTTTCCATGTTTTCCTACATTGTTTTTTCAAGAAAAGAATATGCGTCATTCTTGATTTCAACGAATGAAATGCGTCAAGCAGGTGAAATCCCATTTTGTAATTGACTTCTAAAAGTAGCTATGCAATATCAATAATATCACTTCTATACAAACGCATAAACAAAATTAAATATAAAGGAAAGTCACATGCCACATCTTGTGAGATTTTGCGTTAGACTGATTATTCGAATTTATTTTTAAAATGCTGTGAGATATTGATTAAGCACTTGCTCGCGATTCAATGTCGTGAGGGCTAATTACATGCCGTGAAAGTTGTGATCGTTTTTTGTTATGCTTAGAAAATCAGTACTTTAGCTTTGGGTTTCGGTAACACTATCTTATGCCAAACAGTTTACCAAGATGATGGGATAGTGTTTTTGTAAATCCTGTTTGTGCATTTTTTCTTGGATTTGGTCGAGCTACCACAACCTTGATTACACTATTTGAGGAGATTAATTTACTTTTACCTATAGTATATGTTAGATGACAAAATATGTCATCATTCGTGTAAATTAGGTGAAAATGCAATCACCTAGATTTACAGTTAGGCAAGTTAGTAAGCCAGTTCTACCGTGGTCGGTTTATTCCGGGTAGTGGCAAATTACATAATATCTCAATTGACGAAACTGATAAATGAAGTGTTTGATGTATTTTCCAAACACTAGGAATAAAACCGATATCATAACACTCGATTTTTTCTTGTCACTGGAAATAAGAATGGCCCATATATGTGATATTTATGTAGTTGTGAGATAAAACAAAATGTTTTGTAAGTATATTTATTCGAATAAAATTATAAATATTAAATACTGTGCTTTATTACACGTTGCAAAGCATAACTTGTTTAACAATTAATTCAAGGTAGGTAGTTATATTAGGAGGAAAAATATATGTTACAAAAAACTCAGCTAAGCTACATCACATGCATTAATTAGGCCTTTTTCAATATCAAAGAGAAAATATAAACGTATAGTACTTAGTATAGAAGGTACCAATGCGAATTTCAAGGATGGAAATAGGTAGAAAGATTACGGTATTTCGATTTCTGCTTGAAATATGTAGATCATGTTGATATTTTAAAACAAGTTCAGGCGGAGGTCGCCTGGTATCTAGGAAACTGACAATTCCGTTTTGACACTGAACTAAATAGTGTAATCTCCCTGTTATAGGGCCTTAAAAACTAACCATCTAAGAGACAACTTACATGATTTTTTAATAAATTTTGTTTTCATAAAGTTATCTTTAAAACCTGAATATTATCTCTTAGCTGATGAGCTCTTACGGTCCCACGCGAGATATATAAAGAGAATTTTTACTTCGAAATCAAAATGTTTCATATCCTCAAATATCCTGTGAACTTCACCTTATGGGATAGCTGACGACGCTGATTGATCAGATGAGCATTTTGAGATTAGAAAAAAATTGAATTTCAAGCATACCTGTTTTGTTACTAAACAAAATCGTATATTATTCTGCGTAGGGCGCTCTAAAAGTTGAAGCTATGTGATAATTTCCAGATCTTGGGATATAACTCCTGTTATATTTCATGATTTTTTCCAAATGAACCGCGTATATTCAGTTTTGTTATCTTTTTTTTAAAGAACTACTCGTCGACTTAGTAAGTGATAAAATATCACTTAATTGTTTTTGGTTGCTATTTTTAAAATTTGATGATGATGATAGCATAGTCTATCAAAAGCTTGAGTTTTAAGTTAAAAGAGTACAGGTTGCAATTTTTTGTCTAGTTCCCAAAGACATATCAAAGACAAATACATGTAATTAAATAGCTATTTAACTTCTAGGGCACATTTAGTATAGTAACAAAATTGTATTCTTAAAATAATTTTTTTTCTAATCTCAAATTGCTCATTTAACCAATCAGCGTCATCAGTCGTATCTAGACAGTCTCCCCTTAAGGAATGATAACTGTATCTTTCACCAATCAGATGATCTGAAAAATCACTATTTTTTAATCGGTTAGGAATGTGATGCACGTTTCGGAATATCTGATTCTAGGCATAGTGGAAGCACGGGGATTTTGCAGTTGGTACGAGCATGTCGAGTTTATAATGGCCGAAGCCTGACTGTCAGATTGATGACACGCGTGCATAGAAATGTTGCCGCTACGAATACTCTGAGACTACTAGACTTAAGATGGACGATTAAAAATAAAGCCAATGACTATTATAAATAAATATCATTGAACATTATTATACTTTAGATACGTTTCTAGTAGATACAGGGTTTGTCCGGAAAGTAATAGGACTCATTTTCTTCCGCCATGACTGTACTTCGGGGCGTGCGCGCACCGACTTGATTCGGTAGAGGGCTAACGAATGAGCGACTGGTCAGTTGTCTCCGAGCACTTGGAGAGTCAGGACAGGCATTTTCGCGCGACGTGTTTCTGTGAGTGGTGCAAGCCGAAAATGCAGCGTTCGTTCTAACGCTGCTCTAGCAGAGGTACGCGATTAAATTCTGTATGAAACTCGGTAAATCTGCGACAGAGACGTTTGATATGATCAAGCAGGCTTACCCAGGTGTTGCTTTAGCAAGAAGTGATGTGTTTCGGTGGCACCAGGCCTTTTTAGAGGGCCGGGAAAAGGTCGCTGATGAAGGCCGGGAAAAGGTCGCTGATGAAGGCCTTCGACTTCGACAAACACCGATAATGTGACTCGTGTGCGCAAAGTTTTGAACTCAGAAAGTATAAGTTTATTTGCCCAGATGTTAAATTTACCAAAATCTGGGTCCGACAAGACATCGCAGCCGACTTTAAGTTGCACCACGACAACGCCCCGGCTCGCACCGCCTTTCTTGTGAACAGCTACCTGGCCAAGGCCGGCATCCCAACGCTTCCGCAGCCGCCCTACAACCCCTACCCCCCGGACTTTTTTTTTGTTTCCTCGCCTGAAAAGGTCGATGAAAGGTAAGCATTTTGAGACGACAAAGGGATCCAACCAGCATGAACCGCGGCTCTCAAGGCTATTCCGGAGAATGCATTCCGTGACGCGTTCAATGCTTGGAAATAGCGCTGGCAGCGCTGCATCGACGCAGAAGGAGCCTATGTTGAAAGTTTTTAAAGAATTGTAACGATTGGCTCAATATTTTTTTTTTAAATCGACTCATTCCTATTACTTTCCGGACAAACCCTGTACATCACAACTGATTTTTTCAAGGAAGTCTAAAACAATCAGCATGTTCTACAAAATTATTTGCTGGTGCAAAAGCAAGAAACTTTATGTAGTGAAGATATAATAGTCCTATCAAAGATGCTGTCAGTAAGTCATGAAATCTATAATCCAGCACTTCTCTTTTCATTCTGCATATCTAGTTACCTTTGTCATATGAACTAAATAGTTCTGACACTGGTACGATTAGCTGGTCTACCAATTCATTCTGAGGCCTACCTATTTTTAGATTTTCAGGCTAATAACACCTTTAATACGTGCTATGCCATACTCGTATATAATCAGACACTACAAGATATAGAGATTACTTGACTAGTCCAGGAGACTACATATCATTTAAAGAATTGATTCAAGTGAAGTGACTATTTGGTATCCTGAAAGTTTACTCGTGATGTATAAGAGCGAAAACAGTCGTCCATAATGTTGTGTCTGTAGTTTAAAATCTAACTGTATGCAATTCTATGTTATCTCCTTCAAATGATACACGGCCTCTGACCTAGAATTCAATATTCCAAACAATTGTATGGCACAAGCAATGGATGAAACATCGAATAAAAATACATGTTCCAGAATGGACTGCCAATCCTTCGTATGCATATAGAACACAAAAAAATGCCATAACTTATACATAAAAATGTTACGAGCCCTCTCCTATGGAGATATTGTCACGAGTAACCACGCCTTTACACGCGCTAGCTCATGAACAGATATCCTAAACCACATCCGCTGATGAGTATACATAATCAGCAAAGGTGTATCTTTATCAGCCGAAGTGAGAATATGATGATTATAAAAACTAGTTGGACTGACATGTCAGGGCATTCCGTCTTGGGGGGCAACTCTTGCCATTCTTCCATCCGAGAAGGCCAGCTCAGCCCTAAATGTAACTAGAGTGAGTAAGTTATACGTTTATATTAATACAGTTCCTTTGTGAATACTTGCGACTATCAACATCCTTTTGCAGCGAGACTGCAGACTACTAACCCCCAAGGCACAATCGTGACAATATAGGCACCTAAAGGACGCTATTGGATGTATTTTCCAAATAACTTTTGAACGACACTGTAGAATTCAATTTCAAGTTATGACAGCTTAGTATCTATCCAGGGCTGCGTTCGTATTTGTTTGATGTCATGTTAGTTGCGTTCGGAAATAGAACAAAGTAATTCTTCTGAAACGTCAACAATAATCAAATCCAAGCGAATAACCAAAATTTCTGTGTTATGTGCCGCGGTTATAATATGGTTCAAGATGACACACGAGTTGATGATATAATCTCTGATTATTTTTATTATCACTTAATAATCGGTGCTTTTTCGTCTACAACTGTATATGGAAAGTTTAAATAAGAAACCTTTCATAATATTCATGGGAGAAATGTTTTTTTCAGATTTTTTTCAATGATGGAACCATGGCTTTGTAGCTATGATAACTTTCAATTCTCTAATTTTTTCCGCATGTCAAAGAAAACATTTATTGATTCAGCAGAAATGATGAAAAAAGAAATGAGCAAAACCGTATACAGGTGGACATCATCTAGTGAGTTTATATGGCCATATATTAATATTCTTGTGGTATATGGCTACACATGATACTTTGTTAAGCATAGGAACTACATTTAAAGTGTCCCCAACAACCGTAATGAGTATAACTAATAAGGTGCTCCACTTTATGGTAAAACTGAAGTCAGCCTGTATCATTTTTCTCAAAAATGAAGCTGAAGTACAATAACAATATCCAATACCCGGCAAAATTCTAACTTGTCACATTTCAAATAATAACCAGAAATATAAAACTACTCTTGAGTCGGGTAAATACCACAATTTTGCGGTGATAACTAACAGCTGATTCGTGACGTCACGGATCTTATAACCAAACTGATAACTACACTCGCTTGAACGGATTGGTAAATACCAACCCAAAATGGTAAATACAATTTCCATTTGGTTATCCGCTTGAATTTGATTAATGTGTTTTTCTTCCCTGCCAAAACCTTGGGAAAAAGAGTTCCGTCACTTGTCATTCTCATGGTTCATTAATCAAATCCAAGCGAATAACCAAAACTTCTGTACCGCGGTTATAATATGGTTTAAGATAACACACGGGTTGATGACGTCAGTTAGTTTTAACCGCGGTTTTGTTGCAAGTTGTTTATTTCAGAAAAGCGCGTATATAATTTCTGATTATTTTTATTATTACTTAATAATCGGTGCTTTTTCTACAACAGTATATGGAAAGTTTAAAAAAGAAACCTTTCATAATATTAATGGGAGAATGTTGTTTCTTCAGAAAATAATTTTTTATGATGGAACCATGGCTTTGTAGCTATGATAACTTTCAATTCTCAAAACTTTTCCACATGTCAAAGAAAACATTTATTGATTTAGCAGAAATGACAGGGAGAGGTGATAAAAATATATTAGCAAAACCGTATACAGGTGGACATATCCAGTGAGTTTATATGGCCATATTTTAATATTCTTGTGGTATATGGCTACACAGGATACTTTGTTAAGCATAGGAACTAGATTTAAAGTGTCCCCCACAACAGTAATGAGTGTAACTAATGAGGTGATCTACTTTATGCTACAACTGAAGTCAGCCTGTATCAAGTTTCCCAAAAATGAAGCTGAAGTGTAATAACAATATCCAATACCAAAATTCTAACTTGACATTTCAAATAATAACCAGAAATATAAAACTATTCCTGAGTTAGGTAAATACCACAATTTTGCGGTGATAACTATGACATATAACAACTGATTCATGACGTCACGGATCTTATAACCATACTCGCTTGAACGGATCGGTAAATACCAATCCAAAATGGTAAATACCATTTTCATTTGGTTATTCCCTTGAATTTGATTATTGTTTGTTCATTTTATTTGGTTATCAAAAACAGTTTGAAATTGGCAGAATGTATATTTTTCAGGATAAATGCTACCTCATATCCCTAGAGTCTCATAATAATTACAATGATCGCAAAAACGTGGTTAGAAATAAGTCGGCTGTCATCAAGTGTCATTACATAACTGTAACAATTTAAGTTTTCTAAAAATAAAATTCCACCGTATTCCAAAGTGAAATTTCATCCGTCAATCTACATTCCATTACTAAGAACGGTATTTCATTATCAAGTGATTTACAAACGCACCGCAGCAAGACGGCTATTATATAAAAAAGCTATAAAACGTAAAAAAAAACAAAATATCTTTGACTCAACTACACGCATTCTTGGTTGGAGAGAGCAAAGATGTGAAAGAAAGAAAGTTGGTTGAATACGAAGATGGCATATGCTGCCAATGCAGTATATCAATTAGCTGTGCCTGACGGGTTATTTATATGTTCTCCTTTCTGAAAACAGGTTATGTTCAAAGTTATAAATTACGATTTTTCCCGTTATTTGTGTTTTCAAAAACTTTGAGGAGCACTACAAGTCGCCACCGCGCCCGCGTTGTGTGCAATTAAGCCATATCACAGAAAAATTAGGAATGACGCATCACACTTCAAACATTTTCGCAGTGCCTCACATCCAGGCTGATTTGTATTTTCTATTGACAAAGCAAGATACATTTCTATAAAATTTACATGACTGGGAATAAAAAATAATGAAATAACCTTTTCACTTTCATAAATATTCCTGTCTGTAGCATATTTTCTCAAATTTTTGAAATTCTGCAAATTTGAATATGTAATTTCCAGAGTGAATAAGAAAAAGTGGATGCGCAACTAATTTCTAGCTGTGGATCTCAAGTAAGTGTATTTGAGACAAGAAACCAATGGAATTATCATCAACACATATTTATTGTTACCACACAAATCCTCACTATGCACCTATGCACTGCCGTTTTCTTCTAGCTATAGTATACAACTTACGGCTTAGACCTCCAATAATGCCATCTCTGAAGCAGATTTTACATCACATCAAATCGATTTCTATAAGCGTCTTTAGGGGCTTGATTTCTCAATACGGGAGGGCCACAGGACATTTTTTATAGGAACTTGTGTCATTATGTTTTATATGTGTACGAGAGATTAACATCTTATTCTGGGACATCCGGTACATCACAACCCGGTACAAATTTTGCAATGGTAGATGCAGTGTAGGATGAAACATGCATGTTAAAATCAATTATAGAAATGTCGTGTATATAAGTCAAAATGGAAGGCAAAAGTGCAGTCTTGGTCAGTTGAAATATATAAAGTATCAAATGTACTTAGTTATCATAATATGGACCACATATATTTCATTGCAGGGAAATATTAGTTGAGAAGCTTCAATTTCTGAAAGCCATTCAAATTACAATGAAGAGTCAAGAATTGCATTCTTAAAATCCTTAATGATATGGAAGAAAGTTCATTCCATTTCAATAATCTTGATACTCGAATATGTGAGCGCCTTTTTTAAAGTGATATTTGCTTTGACATTTACAGCAGATTTCCCTTAAATGAGATTCTTTCATTGTTTTTTTACTAATGTAATACCTTCAAAAATGGGAGCCTTCCATAATTTTTTTCCAAGTGATTGTCCAATTACATATTTTTTTCGACAAATATGCAGCAAGTTACAGAGTTAGAGACTGCTTCTAAACCAGGTCAATGCCAAGGAACACACTTGTTAGGGAGAGTGTATATCTATACACTATTTTATTGCTTCTGTTTTTGCGCAGAACGTGTTGTGTTATTTTTTTCTGTTAGTGCTCATCTATATACTTGTAGTTATCCAGCTTATTTTATCTTCAAGCCTTACCTACCTTGTTAATATGAGTAAGCCTCTTAATTTCTTAAAGCAAATGTTAAATAGTTGTTTTTTGTTTCCCTAGGCAGTAAGGTTAAGTGGTAGAGTAGCCAGTGCTAAACTTCGTCCTGCAGCGTGGATGAGTCAATACAGATAGCATTATTATACAAATATTCCAAAGACCGATGGCAAACGACAGCTTTGCCGCATTTACAATAAAGCGGAAAGTAGTTTACTACGGCTGTAGAAAATTTCTTATATATAAACAACTTGCACCGTTCTCGAAATATTGCCGCGCTCTGCCATGTGCTACGCGGATCAATCGCATTACCCAAGAGGCAAAAAAACATTTTGCACGTTCAATACACACTAATCCTGTTTAGAAACAGTCTATGGTGAAATTTAATAGCGACAAATAGACACAAACGTATATGTACCACACATGGAGAAGACTATAGCAAAACTGAGTTACAATTACACAGGCCTATAATTACATAATATATTTGTACATTTTGCATGTGAAGCCAAAAATATTGCACAAAATATAGGAAAACATGGCTTTTCTATTTTTCAAATTCATTATAGTGCATTTAGAAAGCTTTTGTGATCTTATACCTCGTTGAGAGAGAGACTATCATCATTTCAAATAACAAACTAATATTTGACATCAATGCCAATAGAAGAGAGTACCATTATCAACAGATCAGATCAGCAGATTGATTCTAAAGATCAGGCGAATTACCACATACCATAATACAAAGTTCGTGGATAGATCGTGCACACTAACGAAAATATGCAGAATAAGCAGAATGCTCAGAGGAGCAAAGTTTTTTTGCATATCGGTACAAGCAAAGATAAATCCCAGACCGCTCGTCGGCTTGAGGCAGTCTGATAGGGAAATGTCATCAATCAGCAACTTCAGTACAGTACACTTCTGGGTATTTCTTATCTTGTACAAACTATGGAGAAAAGTTCCTCCAAGCCCTGAACAGATATCCCAACTTCCTTTCAGCAGCTGCGGCGATACACGAATCATCTATCTCTCTCTGTGTGCGTGAGAGTAGTACTACAACCTAGGTTGGGTCTTGGCTGACTTGCCTCCTTCATGACTTTGTCTGCGTCTTGGATATCTAGAGTTTTCAAGCCTGCTGATAGATTGCACTAATCTACACTGAAAAATGTGCAGTTTATTTTTTCTTGTTTTCTGTTGAATTAAGGGTGGTAGTTACGAAAATATCACTGGTTCTTTTCTGACAGCACAAACGGCTCCTTGGTAGAACTGGGCCCTCTTGTAAATGTACAATATTTTGCCTTGGACACATTAAACTATACCAGATTGTTGCATCATCAGGTTCATCAGTTCTCCTCGGTGATTTCAACGCCCATAATGAGCTTTGGTTGGGCTCAAACAAGACCGATGCAGCAGATTTATTTTTTCGGACTTTATTTAAGGTGGGATTTAAAAAAGGTCACATTAACAATCCCACTTTTTCCTTCTACAAGTAGCATGTCAATATGAAGTTTTGTCTCTCTCAATCAACTTTATTTTTCACTTAGACAAATAGTTTTGCGGAAACTTTGGATGAAAAACAGATGACAATCGTGGGCGTGTCCGCATGGTGGATGCTTACACACGTGAACATTTTTCAATGCTGACTCCATCACGTGTTTATTCGATTACATCACCAATTATGGATTGCTTCAGTTTTTGAAAAGCGCGTTCGAAGAACATTAAGTTAATCTGCCCATTTATCGACTATAACGAGTGTTATTTTAGCACGACGGAACCTCTCTACATAACACCTCAGCTATTGATTGTTATATAAATGCAAGATGTATGCCTTGGTTTAGGTATGACGGTTATAAAAGGTGTTTAGTAACTTGCAGCTCGTCAATCCTTAAATAGAGAAAAAGCTTGATCTTGTTCTTTATTCGACGAATTAAGATCAACTATAGGAAGATTAGTTTTATAGACAGTTGAAGTTTTATATTAATCCCCGTCATTAACATCGCAAATAGGGGTTGTTAGTTCATAAAATCATAAAAACTGAAGTAATGCTTGGCTGATGATCTTAGGAAACAAACTTGAAAAATGTAAAACTGCATTAACCACAATAGTTTTATATAAGATATGATGTGATCCATAAACCAAGAAGTAAGTCAAGTCCAGTATATGCCTCTCATTATCATAATTTTAGAAATAGGGTTTATTATGGAGATTAAAGAGTTAGGATTAGGACATTTAAACGAGAAATCTCTTTTGTCAGGTTTTGATACTTTCACAATTATTCTAAAAACTGAGAATTTTGATATTTTAACAGTTAGTTAAATTTTTTACGTTAAGATCGAGCCTCAAGTGGCGGTGGTGTTGGCGTGTATACAAAATCTCATTTGAATGTAAAAAAGCTTAACACTGAAATGTTGTTAAATGTGGAAACTGGTTCTGCATGTAAATATTGTGTAGTTCGCGTTTATATCAGAAGTGAAAAGCGTTGAAGACTCGTTTCATTTAACTGTTGATGGCATAACTTCACAACACACTCAAACAACTAAGATTCCGTACTTTTGTTCTAGAGCTATTTACTCTTTACTTGCTTAACTTTAAGCTAATGAAAAAAATATGTGAACTTTGGTGATGTTAACACCTAGTTGTTTATTATCCGTGTTTGGATCAGTTGACCAAAAAAATGAGTTCAAATCATCCAAAATAACTGTCCGTTTTATTTTTGGCCTGCGAAAATATGGCCACATAAGTGAAAAATTAAAAGTACTTCACAAAATACTCTTGTCATCAAAACCTGAATACCTAAGAGTTAAATTACAATTTAACTAAGTTTACGACAGCATTATAACCATCCCACATAATTCTACCTTAGAATGCTGCAGTTTTTTGTAGTCAGTTGGAAAATAAATAGTTTAAAATCCATACCTCTGACAACTTTTTGTAAATATACTAAAAGCATGCTGCTACCTATAGCATAAACCGTCCTGCAGTTACTATACGCGCAGAATGTGCAATTATTTTTCATAGTCAGGTATATGTGTATCTCTCCAGGTTATTTTTGAATAAAGACTTTATTATGGATTAGTGGATAATTTCTTTATTTTTAAATTAATTATACTTGTATACTGTATTAATATATGATTTTGGAATCATCAAAAACTATCCACTGATAAATCCCATATAGCGAACACAAAAAAATAAGGTCTATTATGGGGGTCATGAGGAGAAACCTAATATTGAAATTGTAATTATGCCACCTTGCAAAGGAAAAAAAGTGGCATCCTTAATGTGCAATTTTTTTTGAAATCCGCCCTCAAATAAAATTCGTTTCTTCGTCACTCTCCGGAAATACTTTGATTTGTGAAACTTTCTAAATGCCATTTTCTTAATTACCTTAAAGCACGACGTTGTTTCTATTTAACCGACATCGTAAACGGTGAGAGTCGAATTTAAAACACCTGGTACCTAACTGTCTGTTTATTATGATTTCACTTCCAAAAAGCCAGTTTTTTACATTTTGTTTTATATGTTCCATTGCAGGAAAAGTGACTGAAAAAATCCTGAAAAATGTTGATTACTCAACTGTATGTTTACGCATGCCTTACATCTATTTAGATATTTCAAAAAATTACGCATGGCTTGGATATGGAGTCCAATATATTAATAATTCGATTAATAAAATATTCCATATATTATTATGTCACATTTAACGTTTCAAAATATGTATATGCACGATCAGAAATCCCTATTATAACAATAAAATACTTAAATTAGTTTTCAACAAACGTACGTTCTTTTAAATCTTTATATTCGAATAACTGGGCAAACAAGATTTATCTGTAGAATATACGCACTTAACGACCGCGTAAGACCTGACTTCAGTCCGAACAACATGACTTGTCCCGGAAAAGGTTCGACGATTTCAGCTAAACGAAACCTGACCGGCAGAAAGCGCACTAGCAGATTGGTGCAAAGGCGAGTGATCATATGTAGGTCTAACGACCTAATGCATAGTCGTTCCTTGATTTGATACCTCCTCGCTCTGAAGGCACATTACCGGCTAGATTAGTAGCTAACTTGCGCCCACATTTATGGTCGACGCTTTGTGGGCTGAGTACCCCTAGATTTTAAACGGATAACGCATTTTAAATAGATAACGCAAAATTCTCAAAATTTTCGAAATCTTGATAAAAACCCATGATCTTGAATTGGATTTCCATCTTCTCAGATCAACATTTTTGGAAATCTTGGACACATCAGATACCGTAGCGGCCAGTTTGGCAACAAATATTAACATTATATACCTAAATTAAAATGGTGAAGGAACAGATAATATAAATATTAAAGTCTACCTTTGGCTCCAGTACTAATACAAGGTTTATCTTATCAATATTCAAATTCTCGTATGCAAGATAATGACCCCAAGCATACCTCAAAATTCGTAAAGGACTGGTTAAGACCAAAAAATATTAATGTTCTTACATGGCCTTCGCAATCCCCGGACCTAAACCCAACATCTCTGGGAGCATGTTAAACGAGAACTGACAAGAACAACTTTTAAAAATAGGAACGATTAATTTCATTATGTAAAAAATATTTAGCAAAATATCCCAACAGATGTCTGTAAAAAATTGCTGTCTTCTATGAGCAGCAGATGTCAGGCAGTGTTAAAATGCTAAAGGCTATGCTATCAGATATTAACTAAACAGTATTTTTTAAATCTTTTTGAAGAGTTATTGTATTTAATTTTGTAATGAAAAATATGTTTCCATACTTTTGTCGTCTCTTTTTCGGTCATAAAATAATATGAAGGTATTTTAATGCTGTAGTACCACAGCAAACAAAAATTGTCATTTGTATCATCAAGACTGTAAGCAAACTATATGAGAAAAAAATAGTCCTTAATAATAAAGAATAAAAAATTAGCATATTTTTATAAATTACTAAGAATATTAACAAACTTCTGATAACCTCTGATAACTGTTAGATCCTACTGTGAGATGTAAACTCAGCCCGCAAGAGTCGACTATGTTGTGCCTTAGATGTCCAACTAATCAAACCTTTTCCAAATCAGATACTTCGTGGATCAAGTCAATTTGCTCGATCTGTGGCCAGCTTTATATATATAACTAGAACCAAATGTGTTCTGATTAGGTAACAGTCCAAGTGATACGTTCACATCTGCTTGAAAAAATATTCTGCATCAGATTTTACTCCTCATGCCCGCTGGCGGGGAAGTATTGTAATCGCGAAAATTTTTGGAAATGAGATATTACGTCTCTTAGATGTTATAGGATATTTACATCACGAAAAACCATGTCAGTCATTTCCGTCGGTCTGTCCGCTCGGATTTCGATAAAATTTTTACACAATGTTACTACTATGACAAGGAAGCAAAAGCTTTTTAAAATCGGTCCAGTGGCAGCAGAGAAAAAGTCTTATAAGGAAAAAAGTAAAAATCGCTCAAACCTCGTTTTAGAGGTTTTTGCGACCGCAATGCCAATTTTACTTTAATTTTCATTGTTTGTTCCGCCGATGTTTTTGTTGGCACTAAATTTGGTCGTGCTTACAGTTTTTTGGCAGAAAGATAAAGAGCTGCACTCTAACAGCAAGAAGAACACTGTTGAGAAGCTCCAAAAGAGGCCAGGGGCCCCTGCCGACGAACGCACCAGCGATCAAGCATCATTTTAGTGCCTCGTGGTTCACCCTCCTTCTTTTTTTTTGGTTCTCTTCTTGGCCACTTAATGCACATAATTTGGGGCACTGTCGCAACCGCCACAGAGGTGGGGGGTAGGGGTTGTAAGGGAGTGGGGAGAGTTTATCTCAATTTTTTGATGCTGATACATTTATACGCTCCCAACATTGGTAATTCTACACAGCTATTAGATATATTTCACGCATCGGCCGCGGTTGTTGCTAGCGTCGTGTCGTGCGCCTACCATGTGGAGTGTTCTGGTAAGGAATCACACGTATTTCTGTCGCGCAAAAGCATAGTGTATTCTATGCTCTGAACGTCTGACCGAGTTAGGTATCGGGGAGAGGCCAGGTTTCCAGATGCACTAACGCAGGGCATCGAATGCATGTATATGGACTAATTGTATCGACCTGTTTGACTGACTTTTTTCTCAGAGGGTCTAGTTTATGCTGAACATTTTCCTTCAAGTACTGATAAGGGCATTGCGTAGAAAGTGCAGAGTCAACCCACTCGACGGCATTTTTTGCATGATCTTATTCGAAAAGGATCCCTTTTAACGAATCATGCCCAAAAATGCGTCAAAATAAAACGATGCTTTATAAATTGAAGTTGATAGTTTTCGAAATATAAGCAATTTAATATTGGGAAAAACGAAAAATTTTATTTTGCCAATGCTCCTAAATGTTCTTCAAACATCCATTGGAAAATTTCTAAAGCATTTTTATTTTAAACTTTTGTTTTAGTCAAGCGAGCGCTCAATGCGTGAGCACGAGAGAGGTGCAGCATAGGGACGGCCGCCAGCTACATATTTTGCACTTTTCTGAATATTAAATCGTTTATATCTCGAATACTAACAACTTTAGATAAACAACGTTTTTTGTCCAAAATGGCATAAAAACCCTTAAGAACCTTTGACCGGAGAGAAAAAAAATAATTTTTGGAATTCGTTTAAAAATAATCTTCAAAGAATTTTTGGCGAAATTTTGGGTCTGGCAACATGCAGATTCGTTAAGAAGGGTCCTTTTAAAGTAGGATCATGCAAAAAATCTGAAAAATAATATTTTTCCGAACAAATGCGAAGATATTACCTGGGCTATAATCGATATAAATATTAGAAGAGTAAAAGTAAAAGAGTGCCTGAAATGTAAACATTCTGAAATACATTACCAATAAAAATTCTGTACTAATGAAAATATCACAATTCAAGTTAAAACTTGTACTCGAAATCTAGCGTTGAAATTCAAGTTTTAATTTAAACATTCGATTAATATCCATGAATCATTTTCATATATTATTGATATGCGTACATATCGATATTGAATGAATTACTTTTAAATTAAAACCTGTAACAACGTTTTTAACTAAAATACGCAACTAAAACTGTCAGACTAGTGTTGATCCCCACTTTGGGTTATTAAATTCAAATAGATGGCGATGCCAAAAACAATAGTGTTTTGATTACTTTTCAAAAAATATTTCATCTTTATTATGGAATGACGATGAAACGTTTTTTTAGTGACTTGTGTCAAAATTCTTTCGTAACACAAAAACTGTCTAAAAATAACTTTCATATTATTAACATTGACATCGCCGTTTTGCAAACGCTTAACAAAAATCACATCAATGTGTTTCTGAAACACATCCAAAGTTAAAAATTTCCTATGCTAGAAAATTCGATTAATTAAACATGTATACAAGTACGCGAAAGAGTGACGAATAGAAAAAGTGTGCCTATCAAGAGAGATTCTAGGTAGCTTCAAATGTTTAACATATTTCGATAGTTACATAAAATCTTGGATTGGATGATAAGAAAAGATGCGCACAGTCGAAATGGAACCAAATTTTTGGGACACGGTGGACCACGTTCATAACTTTTTTATTTAGCAACCTCTAAATGCAATGGCAGCTTGGAACGAAAATACTTTTTGGTCATCAACTGTGAATGTCACTTTCGTTATCCTTGTGGTTGTCAGGAACGCATTTTCCAATTCAATCAATTCCTCCATTATTCAAACCACAAATCCAAAACCACCCAAACATACAATAAGAACAAACAGAACCCAAAACCTCAAAACACTCAAGAACTTCTACATGCTCTAAAAAATACCCATGAGTGTTACATAATATAGCTTTAGCGCTAATCGGTAATGCACACGGTGTTATAGTTTAAAAAGTTGTCAGGTCGCTACTGCACCGACTCCGTATTGCAGTAACTACGATTTTGTTAACAAACTTTTTGAGCAAAAACTCCCCATTATGTAGGAAAATGAGATTGACAGACAGTGTGGTTTTCTAAAATGTCAGGATAAACGTTTTTTCTCATTGATATACCCATTTCACAACTCATAAAGACTTTTGCCCCAAATGCCTTGATACCCTATCGAAAATCACTAAAATAGGCGTTTTATTTTCGGATTGGGACAAACTTGAACAATTTCGACCCAAATGAAAAGTTGCAATATAGAAAAAGAGTGTTAAAATACCCAAGGATCCATTACTTATAGAGGTCCCGAGTTTCAGAAATTGCATTATTGCCAACAATATGTCATTTGCTGATCATCTGTTCAGTTTCAGTAGACGTCAAAAGATGATGAAGTATCGTGAAAAATAGATTATTTTGACCCTTTACAAATTCACTTTTGACAGTCTGTCAGTTGCATTTTTCTTCAAATAGACTTGTGATACCAGCGCTCCAAGACCTCATGAATCAAAATATATAAAGTATATATAATATCAAAATTAAAATACAAAGTCGAGACAATTTTGGGTACAACCAAAGTCACTGGTTACATTAAAATATCAAAACTCAATTTAGCTTTCGAAATTTCACTATAATCTCTCAATTCCTTAACATTGTCTTATTTCTGGGTTACCAGACCAGGCAGACTTACGAACCGATACTATCACATAAGAGCTAAGATCCTACGGACCACTCTGACAACCAGCGAAACTTGACGGGCAAAAGGGCTATGAACTTTTTATGTCAACCAGAAAAGTAAGCTTAAATTCTGCTTATATAGGTACGTGGAATTTCTAACCACATATACGAAAAACAAAAAAGTAGCAATAAATACTGATTTTTCATTTATGACTGGATGCATCTTTCCTAATATAATAATTAATTATAAAACACATTATTGTATGTTTTTATGTTTCATCGCTCTACAATCCGTTGTGTGTAAGAGCACAATCGAAAATTGACTTAGTTCAACCTCACCACCATTTTGTTTAGTACGACTATGTTGAAGGCTTGTAGAACCTCTGCACGAACTGAGTCAGCGTCAATACTTGTCCTGGGCCTTTTGAGGTGTCCATTTGAATGTAGTCTTCTAGGTTATGTGCACAGGCTTTGAAAAGATAAAAAATGGTCAAATTTCCAGTACAAACAAAACCTATACAATATTTTTGAGTACTGAACACCGAAACCCTTGCTATAGTTCTTTTCACGGTTTTTAGCGGTTACGTCATATTTTTCATACGAAATAAGCTCCGTAGGAAAATTTCACACTGTGCAAGCAAAAGTTTAGAAACAAATATTAACAATATTATGAACTATTTCATATACCTAAATTAAAATTAAAAGTGTGTAAAAAAATTTCAGCTCAATTGATTTAAAGATCAAAATTCAGTCAAAAATGTCTGTTTGTCTAATCATATTAGCAAATTTCCCCGAAATAATTGTAAAGCCTAGTTTTATTGATGCAAGTTGTTCGAGCGGATATTTAAAACATGGACGCATAAAATGGTTACACCAATTTTTGCGGGAAAACTTTTTGTTCGACAACAAAGAATGAGAAAACGTGTTTTTTGGGATTCAATCAAGTGTTGGCAGAAACGAAAAAACTCTTCAAATAAGATTTTTAGATATTAACGAGACCTACAAAATGAGACCATACCTAAAAAGATCCGACAATAATAAAAAAGTTATGGCCACAAACCGAGGCAAAATGCAGAGTTTGGCATTTCTTGCTAATACGACGACAATTTCACGCAGCTACTTGAAATTCTTCAAATCGGTAGGCTTCATACTTCTAAATAACCACAACAAAATTGGAGTCAAGTAGTTTTTGAGAATTTCTAATTATCCTGTATCCTAAAACACCTGTCTTCCGGCCATCACTACTGGTTTACTGAGCAATTTACTGGGTTCGTTCAAAGGGCATTTCATAGCAAAATACACGCCGATATGAATCACAAACCATTCCGATAGATAATTGTTACTTTTCTGCGAAAAACGAAGGTTTCCGTTTTTTCTTCTAACAAAAGCAGATGTGTCTATCACCTTTTGTTGAGAATAAAACGATTGTTTTTCGAGATTTCTTCATACTCTTGTGTATACATATTTAGAGCTGAAATTTTATACGGTCACAGATGAGCCTTAAAGTTAATAAAAATATTTCCCACTGAAATAGGTGTTTATAAAGTTAGCACACAAACCGAAGTGTAAGTATTGCAGCGGCGCGGGGCGCGCGTGTCTATCTTTGTTTATTGTATCTAGATGTCCTTAGGTGCAGCCGGCAGAGCGTTGTAAGGAGCATTTATGATTGAGTCTGGTGGATCCTCGAGTGGCGTCCAGCGTTCATTTCAATTCAGTTTGTGTTTTAGAGCATTACTGAATCTGATATATGGAAGTTAGTAGCTGTTACTTTTAAACATCTATTTTTCCAAAATGTAGTCGAATGTTGACACTGACATTCTTGTATATTCGTAGAATTTGTTTTCGTCTGATCGTAGGGTTTCATACAATGTAGAAAATTCTTTGCTTAACAATATTACTTGGGTCTTACTTGCACAACAAGTCACATTTTAAAAATGAATTTTCTTCTGAATACACATCAAAAATTTCATATGAAGCCATGATGATCAAAATACGTGTATCACAACTGAACACTGACTTCACTGAGACCAGACAATGAACGCTCCTAGATATTGCACCTCTACTTTGCACGCACCGCAGAACGCAGTTTCTAATAAGGCCGTACACTTGTTTCAAACTGTCTTAGACTAGTTAGTATGTAGCATGTGCTAATTGGCTGCAATATTGATGCCTGCATGACTTTGTCAAATAAGTAGGTCACGTAATCCAGTTTCTTTACGAAGAAATCTAATTCCCTGGACCTTTCTTTTAAAAGTATTAATACAGTATTCTGTTTTTCGAAATCTCATATGAGTAAAACGACTGCGAGTTATTTGATATCTATCGCTTGACATTTGTCAGTGACAAGTATAGTGCTATAGTTGTAGTCACCGTTCTTGGTGGGTCAAAGTAAGACTACCAGTATCCCTTTATATATCTCCATCTCCCTCATACATACACATGCAACCTACCCCTGTGTGTAAACGTTTGTTCGGTAAGCTCACAGACATACGTTTTTTAGTTGTGTCTCCGTCTCGAAAACTTTGTCGTTACGTATCAGTGCCCGTCAATCATATTTGTCTGAGTGACAACTTTCTCGACATCGGCGTGCAATTTAAGTTGTCCTGTTATCAATCTTCAATATAAAATTGTACAATGCCCGGAAATACGATCAATGGAGAAGGCCGACAGCTCGTGCTAAATTTATTAGAGTATTTCCAGGAAGAGAATGAAAACAGCTGTACCATGTTACCCACTTCATGCGCACTGGAGAGAGTAGCAGATGCGCTGAACATTAGTCTGTGCAGTGTTCCGCTCAGGGTACGGAGACCGGCAAGGGTATTCCGTATCTTGAAAAGTGACGTTGTATCGATTCTTTTGACATTATACTAGTTTTTTTTAGCACTTAGTTGTGTAAACGTCATGAGGCTTCAGTTATCAATGTTTGGCTCTGATGTGATGTAAAATCTGCTTCTGGAGGTCTAAGCTGTAAGCTGTATGTGTTGATGATAATTCCATTGGATTCTTGTCTCAAATACACTTACTTGAGATTCAAAGCTAGAAATTAGTTGCGCATCCACTTTTTCTTATCCATTCTGGAAATTACATATGCAAGTTAGCTGAATTTCAATAAAGAGAGATAAGAAATAATTTTATTTACTGTACACTGTCGAATTACAAGCCATATACATGCTAACAGTAATTACACACAACGCGGGCGCGGTGGTGATTTCCCGTAATTCTCCTCAAAGTTTTTCGTAATTTATATCTTTGAACATATCTCTTTTGAAAACACAACACAAAAAACTCGTGGGGCACAGTTAACAGATATACTTCATTGGCAGCATATTCAGTAATGATTTTCTCACACAGCTAATATCACTGATGTTTTATACATAATCATCCAGATGCGATCTTGCTACTCAACCAACTTTCTTCTCAGAGATGAAAACTACGGACCACTCGGCTTCACAAAACATATGGAACCAACAATGCGTGTAGTTTAGTTGAGTCATTACTCCATAGATGGACGCTCACAACGATCTTAGTGGAATGACTGCACTCTAAAAACTACATAGTCTGCAAGATGACATCTTATAAGTTTTTCTTGACGTTTTATAGGTTTTTTACATAAAATCCGTGTCAATTTGTTTACTTATTTCATACGGCGTTGATGACGTAACTGCCAAGAACCGTGACAACTGTATAAAGATCCAGTAAGGCAAGAGGCGTCGTAGTGTAATGGGAAACAGTAACGATTGCAGATCCGGAGGACGGAGGTTCGAATCCACAAAGCTAACTTTTTTCTATTATTATTTTTTTAATTTGGAGAAATAAATGCTGTTGTCTACCAGCGCACAGTGGGCAGCATACCTTAAAAGTTGGTATTAATTCCCAATTGCCCAATTGCCATGAATTGTATACCTTTTAAAGCAAATAAGAGCTCACGCAAGATTTCAAGAAATAAAATATTGAGTTATTATGCTTTTTTAAGTTTATTCTCTACTGTCCTTAAACACAATATATCTTATCTACCTTCTTTCTAAACCACACCCAAAAAGAGTTTCAAATGACGTTTTATACCTTCCTTAGTGTAACATAAACTACTCATAGACTGAACAGTAACGAGTGGCTGAGAAACACATTCGCTTAAAATATACAGGGCGTAACAAAAGAATATATTTTATATGTTCACACAAATATATATATATATATATATATATATATATATATATATATATATATAACAAAAATAGGAAAATAATGGACAAAATCCGCAAAAAGTGGATTCGAGCAGAAAATAGAATAGGTAACCCGAGCGATACGTATTTCTGCTGGTTGGCTTCATCGGGCCCGAAATGAATGCACATATGCAACTACAAAAGTAGAGACACATGCCCATACATCCGGATACGGGTGTAACCTGAGGAAACAAAGTTGGAGAGGAAAAAAAAAGACACAGGAAGTCCACAACATTATTTTCCAATTTTTGTTATATACCTTTCTCCGCATGATAATTTTCTCTTTATATATATATACAGCAGACGCTCGATAATGTGAACTAATTTAATCTAAGTGTGGTTCACATTATCGAAATGTTTAAAAGAAACGTTTAATACATACTATTTATAACAAAATAAAAAATAAAGCTTGGTTAAAAACTTGTATAGCTTGCGCGTCAGTCACTACACTTCTGACTTCAATGGGATCGTTCTCATCATCCTCACTGTCCATATCCTCCTCCTTATCAGCATCATTCGTCTGCTTATCTTCGTTCCATAAATCAATATCAGCAGGAGTACAACCAATGTTGGGATTCACTGTTTTCAATAAATCAACAACATCCAATGACACACTAATAACATTATCATTATTGGATCGCAAACGTTCTCTAATTACGCTTAAGGGGACATCGTCTTCTTCATCATCTTCATTATTGGTACAAAAGAGATTGTTCCAACATTTTTGAATAGTTTGCTGGTTAAGTTCATTCCAGGCCATATGTAAATCTAAAACAGTTTCTTGTAATGTTACTTTTTTTAAAGCCTCAGATAAGTTTTCAGGATTCTTTGATAAGACAGACGAAAGTAGAAACTTCCTATAGTATAGTTTGGTGAGTCTTATTATATTCTGGTCCATCGGTTGAATTAACGGTGTTACGTTGGGCGGCATGTACATGACGAAAATTGACCCATCCCTGCTACTCAGTTGTTGCTCGGGAGGATGACTTGGTGCATTATCCAATAGTAACAACGCTTTTATTGGAAGCTTCTGTTGTTTTAGGAAACCTTTTACCTACAAATTGAAAACACATCTTCAAATTATGAATAGAGCATTTGTGATAATTGATTGTCATACCTGAGGGGCAAAGCACATGTGGAACCATTTCAGGAATATACTGCTAGTCATCCAAGCGGTTTTTGAACAGTCATAATCAACAGGGATATTAACATTTTTAAATGAGCGCGGATTTTTTGCTTTCCCAATTACCAGTGGCTTTATTTTGTGTGAACCATTAGCATTAGTGCAGGCTAGAACGTTATTCGTTATTTCTCCGGCTTTCTTCCCGGGGCAGATTTTTCAAATGATGCAGCATAGGTTTTCTCTGGTAACATTTTCCAATAAAGGCCACTTTCATCTGCGTTGTAAATTTGTTCCATTCTTAAATCTAGCTCGGTAATTGTTTTCATCAATTTTTCTTTGAATTGTTGCACTAATTGTGGTTGTGCTGATAATTTTTCACCAGATATAGACAGCAGTCGAATTCCATATCTTGTTTTGAATCGTTGTAGCCAGCCATCACTAGCTACGAAATTTTCAGTTTCTTTCAGTTTTTCATGTAACAGTCTCGCTCTCTGTTTAAGTACTTCGCCACTAACTGGGACATGATTTTCCCGTTGTTTTAAAAACCACTTATACAGGGAATTTTCCATTTTAGGTGCCTTCGCATTTTTTTAAGTTTTTCTTTTTCCCGGACGTTTTTTGTAAAATTTGAGTTTTCATAACGCTTAATTTTACAGGTTGTTGCTTCCGATACTCCATATTTTTTTGCTAACGGTGTCACTCCCGCACCTAGTGCAACTTCGTCTATGATTTTCACTTTCTCATTCAACTTTAAACACTTTCTTTTATAGGATGTGGATGCCATAGTCGTAAAATATATTAACGCGTGCAATGTATTCACTTAAGTTCAAAAATGAAATACATACGTACGTATAAACGTACCCTAAACGATCATACGACTGACCGAGTTTGGCGTATTTTATAACAGAGGTGAATCCCCTACACTCTACATCACAAATCGGGGACTCCTCGACGCCCGACATAAATCATCGAGGCTTCAGCATTTTACCGTCGCGCTGTTTCCGTGCGCCGAGAGTTGTTTACGTTATCGAGCGTACACATTGTTATCGCGCGTTCCGTTTGATCCCATAGAACGAAGTTTGTGTTTACATTAGCGCAAGTTTTCATTATCCCGTGTTTACGTTATCGAGCGTCTGCTGTGTATATATACAGGGTGACTTTGAAGTTGAGTCATTAATTTTCAGATAATGATTGTAGAAGGAAGATAAACCAAAATATGTGTATAAAAATAAAAAAAATATAAAAAAAAAATTTTACCTTGTTTTATAAAGTATCCTCCCGACAAGTATTTCAGTGCGGACCTGTATTTGATCGTGAGGTCCCCTGTGAGGTCTGAAGTCACCTGATTCACGAGCCCGTTGTACTACATTAACAAAGGCACGAGGGGTTGGTTGCACTCGATTGGGAAACCGATCCGCATAAACATGTGCCATTTTTTATTTCGTTTGAGCCACGCAACAGACACTATTCACACGCGACTGTATGTACGAGTATAACTGAACTGAATAAAATAAACATCGTTCCAAATTCTTTCGCTTTTTTGTTTCCGATGCGATGAACCGATAAGGTGGATTATATCCGTTGTTGCCAAACACGAGTACATGATATTATTGAGACAGGGCGGTACTCAAACTTCCAAAGGGCTATAACTTTGTTACTTTAATTTTACCAGAAAAATGGTAAAGGAAAAAAACATTTCTTTTGATCATATCTACTCACTGTTAAAATAAATGACTCAACTTCGAAGTCACCCTGTATATATATATATATATATATATATATCAAATTTCTCAAATTTCTTTGGGATGAAGGCAAAGTTTTGCATAAGTACACCCTTTTAATTTGAACACGAGCTTTCGATAGTCTATGCCATCATCGTTCACAGTAAGTCGGCAAGATTGCTACTGAAATTGTTCTTAAACGACAGTGAAAGAGAACACATAGTCGACGAACAAAAAACTGGACCGTTGAGGATTAGGACAGAATTTTTTTAAATTTATTAATAAATGGCAAAACCATCGCTATGTTTTTTAAAACCACTAACTGATTTACAAGAACTTGAAAATTTATCAACTATTGAAAAATGCTTCGAGATTACATCTTTTCTAGTAACCTCCACATTTTCTAACACGTGCCAGTCTGCCAGCACGCGTCCATGTTTTAAATACCCCCTTGAACAACTGTCATCAAAAAAACAGACTTTACAATTATTTCATAAACCAGGGGTATTTTCGTCTAATATGATTAGACTATGTCATAAATACATAATAACATACAAACAAATAGGTCAAGTTAAATAAAAGATTGTAAAAAAGCCATACGGTTTGATAGAAAACGAGTACATATTAGCAAATATTTCCTAATTTGGGTAGACAACCGTACAAAAAACTCATTATTTTTATTACTTAACATGATGAGTTTATAAAAATAGGTGTTTTCTATTAAAAACTGCCAAGTTGCTACATCATTTATACTATAACCCCCAAGTTTTCATGATTGTCTAGTGTCAACTTTTTAATTTGATCGCTGCAGTTTTACGTGGGACAAGTTGTATATACTGGCGTACACGTTGCCTCCTCTCGTACTGTTGCCGCAGATTATGGAATTTTGTTTTGCGTAGCTGAAAAGTAATAATTCGTAGGAATAATTTATGAGCGAGGTGTAGTGGTGACCTTTCCTTGTAAGGTTAATGCCATGTTTAAGAATAAGCAATTTTCTTTAAAAAAAATGGAGTCTCCCTGCAGTGCTAAGCCGATGAAATGAACGACGAAATACAGTTCAAGGATAAGCGTCATTTTACAATGGGTTAATAATGTTATCATTGATTCGAGAAATATATTCTTAGTGACAAAAAAACACCTACGTATCTTTATCCGATTGTAATATTTTTTGGCATATACAGGGTGACTTCGAAGTTGAGTCATTTTTTATTTTAACAGTGAGTAGATCTGATCAAAAGAAATATTTTTTTCCTTTACCATTTTTCTGGTAAAATTAAAGTAACAAAGTTATAGCCCTTTGGAAGTTTGAGTACCGCCCTGTCTCAATAATAATATTATGTGCTCGTATTTGGCAACAACGGATATAATCCGCCTTATCGGTTCATCGCATCGGAAACAAAAAAGCGAAAGAATTTGGAACGATGTTTTTACAATTATTTTATTCAGTTGTGTTGTATACAGTCAGTGTCAGTCGGTAACGCGTGAGTGAATAGTGGTGTCTGTTGCGTGGCTCAAACGAAATAAAAAATGGCACATGTTTATGCGGATCTGTTTCCCAATCGAGTGCAACCAACCCCTCGTGCCTTTGTTAATGTAGTACAACGGGCTCGTGAATCAGGTGACTTAAGACCTCACAGGGGACGGCATGCCGGTGCTCCAAGACCTCACGATCAAATACAGGTCCGCACTGAAATACTTGTCGGGAGGATACTTTATAAAACAAGGTAAATTTTTTTTTAATTTTTTTTTATTTTTACACACATATTTTGGTTTATCTTCCTTCTACAATCATTATCTGAAAATTAATGACTCAACTTCAAAGTCACCCTGTATGTCCAGTGACCCCTACTAGTAAAATGATTAAATTTTCAGCTTGATTCGTCAACTGACTGCAAGTTTTTGTGGTGGCTGCGTGTATTGTTTGCTGATATAGAAGCATTCCGTTTTCGTACATTTACGGTGTCAGTTAAATGTTAAATTTCATGTAGCTCATTGAGAAGCCTTTTTGTGATTGCTCAAAATGCCCAGGGCGCGTAGAATTCGCCGGTTGTCCCAGCTTAGTATCTTTGAGAGGGGTCGAACTGTCGGGTTGCGTGAAGCCGGTCTATCGATAAGAGAAGTTTCTAGGGGGGCCAACAAATCCTTATGCAGTATACTGCGGTGTGAACGAGAGTGGAGTCAGGAAGACAGAGGTCAGCGAGCGAAGGGTTCTGGACGTCCCAGAGGGACCACAGAGCGACAAGACCGGCGGTTAAGAGTTCTGGCTCTGAGAGACAGATTCAGTAGTACTCGAGCCACTGCTAATCAGTGGTTTGAAGAGCATGGAAAGATGGTGGGTATGCGTACGCTTTATCGCCGAATACGACAGATTGGTCTTTTTTCTTATCGCCCACATTGGGTGCTATCTCTTACAGTCGAACATCAGCGTAACCGTTTGCTCTGGTGTAGAGAAAGAATTCTATGGGACCGGGAATGGAATCAGGTGGCCTTTAGTGACGAATCTCGCTTCTGTCTGGGGATGCACGATAGAGTACGGGGTGCTATTGCTTATGGTAGCAGATCACTACTAATTTTCATCAGAGGCAATATGACAGCCCGACGCTATATTGAGGAAGTAGTGGAGCCTCAGCTTATTCCATACCTAAACACCATCCAAAACCCGATTTTTCAGCAAGACAATGCCAGACCACATGTTGCCAGAGCATCGTTAGCCTTCATGGATCAACATCGCATCAACCGTTTACCTTGGCCACCACGATCGCCTGACCTATCTCCAATTGAACATGTCTGGGACATGATAGGTCGCAGGCTCTTGAATTTGAAACACCCTCCACAGACTTTAGCAGCTCTTACTCACGAAGTTGCAGTACCCCAACAAGATATCGGCCACCTTATCAGCACGATGTCAATGAGTGTATAAGAAATCGTGGCTCCTCAACACATTATTGAACCAGCTTCTGCAGTCAGTTGACGAATCAAGCTGAAAATTTAATCATTTTACTAGTAAGGGACACTGGACATATATGGCAAAAATTATTAAAATCGGATGAACATACGTAGGTGTTTACCTTTTTTTGTCACTCAGTATATACTTATAACGAAGGTTTCAATACTTACTAGAAGTGCGAATAGCAGCGTAAGTTGGTGGAGGTTTAATCCAGGTACCATCAGGTCTCTTCATATGTCTTCTGTCCGAGGCAAATTCTTTCAGAAATTCGTTAGCTGGTATTACCCTAAAGTATCTACGAAAAATGCGACACATTAGTTCAGATTGTTATGCTTTTAACAAAAAAGTTATACACGGTTGCTTCGATAACATTCTTTCTACAATAAAAATCATGCAATAAAATAAAGACAGATCTGAATAATAATAATTTATGCTATGTATTTACAAATATATTTCTGCAACTAATCGCACAGTTATGACTGGCGGGGTATACATTTTTACCTCCCATGCCTACTGGCGGGGAAGTATTGTAATCGCGAACATTTTCAAAAATGAGATGCATATTTTTTTTGATATTCTTTTGGCATGTACATCACGAAACACCATTTTCGCCGGTCTATCTGTCCGTCCGCTAGTCTTATATCCGCCTATAACCCAAGAAATACGGAATTTCGATTAATTTTTCGCACAAGGTTTGACAATCCGTCCAGTGGAGGTAGAGAAAAAGACCTAAAGCGAATGAAATAAAAATAGCTCAAACTTCGTTTTTTGACGATTCAGAGGATCCTGATAATTTTTGTAAAAAATTTAGAGGTTAAACAGCTTAGGGGTGGGGGTTGTAAGGGGGTGGTGTTTGTAAGGGGGTGGGTGGGATTTATCTCTATCTTTTTATGCTGGCACATTTATATACTACCAACGTTGGTAATTCTACGCACCTATCAGAAATATTTCACACATCATAGATTTATCTGTATCTTTATCTAAAGGTGAGTCTTTATTTAATCCAAAATATCTTAAAAATGTACTCGCAAGAAGAAAAGTTTCAGATGATAGAATGGTACATCCAGAATAATTCAGCACGCGCGGTTGTTGAATTATTTGCGGTACGCTTCCCAGATCGGCCAATTCCGTCTCACGCAACGGTTATAAATACCTACGAAAAATTCAAGAGGGTGGGCTGCTTACATAAGTGCCATAGCTGCATGCACCCTGAAGGTTGGAAACCAAAAATTAGCGAGAAAAGGGAGGAGATCGAAACTGCTGTTTGTGCCGCTGCAGAAGTATCTGAGCCATGCTCAAGCAGAAAAATTGCTGAAATGGTACCAATAGCCGATCTCACACCCAGAACAACAAGAAATATTTTGCATCGCAACGGCTATCATAGCTTCAAGGTTGGAACGGTTCAAGAAATATTTCCTAACATTTTGTTTACTGATGAATCCGCATTCCCTCTCCACGGTCATCACAATCCTTCAGTCGTTCGGTATTGGTCTCGGGAAAATAAACACCTCAGTATTCCCGTCCGCACGCAGTATCCACAGAAACTGAATGTGTGGGCAGGAATTCTAGGTAATAACATTATCGGACCGTTCTTTATTGATGGAACTCTTACGGCTGCAAAATATTTGGCGTTACTACAGACGCAGTTTGTTCCTGCAATTAGGCAGCTTGGCATTGATCTCGCTAGTATTTGGTTCCAACAAGATGGACGCCCGGCGCATAATGCGGCGATCGTACACACTTACCTTGAAAGTGTGTTCGGCCACCGGATTATTGGCGGTAACGGAACAATAAAATGGCCTCCTAGATCACCCGATCTAGCGCCCAATGATTTTTTCTTGTGGGGTTATGTGAAAAGTACTGTTTACACTTTCAATGAGAGAGCAGACAATTTGCATAACCTACAGGTGAAAATCGTTGAAGCGCTCGGGCAAATACAGCCTTCTACCCTCTTGAGAGTTCGTCAGGAGTTTTATAACCGCCTGACATACTGTTCATTGAATGAAGGAGACGTTTTTGAGCACCAGCTGTGAAGGACCATTTGAAACATTTGTGTTCATTATTGCGTTTTATTTTTGAGAACTTATTTTTTTGTTAGAATATCTTTTTATTTTCGTTACACATTTTTTAGAGTGTACTATTTTTTGTTAGAGTGGGTATCTTCTTATTTTTGTTATGAGACGCAACCTTTATTGCTACAAAACCAATTATCAATTCATGAAAATAAGTAGAGTGATTTAGGTGATTTCGTGAAATCTCTCCATCTCTCTTCCTCATCATAATGTATAATAATGGTTTTTCCGAAGGTGTATATACAGGGTGACTTCGAAGTTGAGTCATTTATTTTAACAGTGAGTAGATCTGATCAAAAGAAATGTTTTTTCCTTTACCATTTTTCTGGTAAAATTAAAGTAACAAAGTTGTAGCCCTTTGGAAGTTTGAGTACCGCCCTGTCTCAATAATAATATTATGTGCTCGTGTTTGGCGACAACGGATATAATCCGCCTTATCGGTTCATCGCATCGGAAACAAAAAAGCGAAAGAATTTGGAACGATGTTTTTACAATTATTTCATTCAGTTGTATACGTATACAGTATGCGGATCGGTTTCCCAATCGAGTGCAACCAACCCCTCGTGCCTTTGTTAATGTAGTACAACGGGTTCGTGAATCAGGTGACTTAAAACCTCACATATGGACGGCATGCCGGTGCTCCAAGACCTCACGATCAAATACAGGTCCGCACTGAAATACTTGTCGGGAGGATACTTTATAAAACAAGGTAAATTTTTTTTTTATTTTTACACACATATTTTGGTTTATCTTCCTTCTACAATCATTATCTGAAAATTAATGACTCAACTTCAAAGTCACCCTGTATATATATATATAGGTGAAAAATTAAAGCTTCCGCCTTTTGTTGGGTACTTCGACAAAATTTAAGCAAAGAGGACTCTTTATACTTTTTTAATTCTCTCTAGCTTTCAATGGACTTTGCCACCATCATCAGCAGCTGCAATTACAATGATAACAGTAGCAACAAAAGTGTAAAATGAATTTAAATTGAATCAACTTACAGTAGTATGTGAGGATGTTGCTAATTGTTGTTTTCGTATAGGATGAGGGAAACGTCCAGTAACATGGTGAGAGCTGGATACATGGTACAATGGTTAAAATTATATAAAATATGACAAGACAAGTTAAAGACAGATTAAAAATTATTTAGGAAACATTAGAGCATTACGTTGTGAAGCCACTTGATGATTGCACAAAATGGTGGTCATGGAATAATGAGTGAGATGAACCTTTGACAGAAGGCCGAAGGTTGTCAATGTCTGTGTTGAAAGATGGAACGAATTGTGGGCGTGTGCCAAAACGTTGTCAAATCACTTCAGATGATGTGATTTTCAGAATGTTATGTAAGAAATTGTTAAACCGACCAGAGGCAGTTGAATAAACTATATTTTAATTATTTTAATTAATGGGAATTTTTATGTATTATGTATATGTATATTTGGTTGCAGTTGTTGCCATTGATGGAGTAGACTGTGTTAGTTAAGCCAAGTAGCGGGACTTAGGTCAGACCTCCAGATCTCTTAAAGGAAGGATTACATCACACAAAAGTGATGCTAGGCTTCATCCTGAAATATGCGCTCTAGCATCTCATGTTAACACAACAGGGCATTCTATGAATTACACAAGTATCAAAGTTCTTGATAAAGAAAAACACCTTTCCAAACGTTTATTCCTGGAAATGTCCCACATTTTCATGAATAACAACTGTATCAACAAAAAGACAGATATTAAACAACTGAGTGTCATTTAAACATATTTGCTAAACTGCGAAAAATTGGAGAACTTACATATCTCCCCAAATTTCGACTTTTCACAACCATAAATATAATCGTGTTTTGGTCGATTCCACCAACAAATTTCATTCCACTCAAAATCTAATAATGCTCTTCTCACGATTTATTAATAAATGTTAATTTAAAATTCCCATTAATTAAAATAATTAAAATATAGTTTATTCAACTGCCTCTGGTCGGTTTAACAATTTCTTACATAACATTCTGAAAATCACATCATCTGAAGTCATTTGACAACGTTTTGGCACACGCCCACAATTCGTTCCATCTTTCAACACAGACATTGACAACCTTCGGCCTTCTGTCAAAGGTTCATCTCACTCATTATTCCATGACCACCATTTTGTGCAATCATCAAGTGGCTTCACAACGTAATGCTCTAATGTTTTCTAAATAATTTTTAAAGTTTAAAGTTAATTCAATTTAAATTCATTTTACACTTTTGTTGCTACTGTTATCATTGTAATTGCAGCTCCTGATGATGATGGCAAAGTCCATTGAAAGCTAGAGAGAATTAAAAAAAGTATAAAGAGTCCTCTTTGCTTAAATTTTGTCGAAGTACCCAACAAAAGGCGGAAGCTTTAATTTTTCACCTAACTGGTCTAGACGACAATGACCACGTCTCAAGTTATATATATATATTCCTGTCTGTACTGATAATAGCGTTGCGTGGGAACTGCAGAGTCAACCTACTTGACGCCATTTTTATTGTAGGTGATCTTGATTTCATTAATATATTTTATAACAGAATAACATCAAAGTGTAGCTTCCAGTATATCAGAAATCAAACGTAGGTCACACCTGATTCCAGAATTACTTTAACAAATAAAAACAAGCGTCATCACGAGGTGACCAAATAAACAACACATTAAGCTACACTGTGCCACTGTGATTGCTTGACTGCCACTCAACGCCCTACCAGTGATGAAGGAACACTTTTATAAATTCACATTAGAACTACTTTGTTTCTAAATATACAAGTTTTTATGTACTTTAGACTTTATTCATTCAAGATGAATTGTTTCACGAACGGGTTACGAAATGCTAAACAATTGACATTCTAATAAATAATGGATACGTATTGATAGTTTTAAACTATCGAACTGTCTCATAATCTGGATAAACAGTAGGTACTTGAACATTTTGAACAATGCTTATGCAAGTTGTGATGAATTATGAAAAACATGTAACAATGCTTACCTAAAATAATCTGGCTTCAGAATGTGATCAGTGCGGAATGTCTCTGTGACGTATTTATGTACATAAGTTGGAAATGGTAGCTCAGAATCCAAATCGTACACTAAACATTTGTCTGGCTCAGGGTGATACAAGAATATCACGTGGTAGTCCTAAAAACAAAACAAATGGAATCGAAAAAATAATACGGATTCCGTGCATCCGAGTTCAAGTATACGTTACAATGAAAAAACATATCCTCAAAATTTCCATATACAATTTCTCTTCATTTTGTTAAACTGTTATACATGTTGTACGAACTCTAAAAGATCACACGTTCAGTATTTAATGCCACCAGTCAGTATTTATCGTGGAATCCGATATTTATTGATCAAGTACCATGGACGTCAGTATTTATCGTGGAATCCGATATTTATTGATCAAGTACCATGGACGTCAGTATTTGCTGATGTACAGGTATAAGGTTACGTAGAAATCGACTAACATTGACGGATACATCAGTACTGATGGTATATGGGATGTAAGTAGCATACATAACTGTGAAGCTCTGATTTGGGCGCTATCTGAAAAAAGCGATCCGGACTAGCTATGTAAAAAGTGCATAGAGGTACCACAGTTTTTAAATGTCAAGAGCATAATTGATAATTGTAAAGAGTCAGAAGTGTCAAAAAATACCTTGACAACTATTGTTTTCAGAAATAAAAATTTCGTGATTTTGTAACTGTTTAGTAAATATGTGTTGAAGTGAAATAGTATGAGACAAGATCTCAGTAAGAAATTAAGATATAGTGTTGTTTCGTTTCGAAAGAATTTTGTGCAACGAGGGAGAGATTATTTATTGTTTCTTAGCGCCAAGGTATTTTTTGATTGTGCATTGCTAATTCAACAGCTGAAGAGACGGAAGGTCCCCAGAAAGTGCCCGACACGAGCGCGTGAGATGGTGATAACGTCTGATACTATAAGAGAGAGTTGAATGTACATATTGCAATAATCAAAGTTTAAGTGATAATATTGAATAGATGCAAGCAAAGGAAACAATAAAATGGATTGAAAATGTGTATAATTTAATAGCGATGAATTAAATTTTGAGTAGCTTTTCGCCGTTTTTCAGTTCCTGAAAAGCAATGACTACGACATTTCCCTTATTTAAGATGTTTTAAAATAACGGAAATCTCTGTTTAAAATTCAAAAGTCTTTAGAAGTTACAATAGTATGAAAAGCTGTATCAATACGTCACACTGATAAAGCGTGGGTGTGGTTAAATAGTTTCCTCCATGTAAAAAATTTACAGCTTAAGCCGGCTTAGTTAGGATCGCTTTCTCCAGATGGTACAAACATAATTTGTTCTAAGTTGTATTAAAAAAGGTCAATTAATGTCTGAAGTGTTCTAATAATAATATGTTGTCCGCAGTAAATGCTGAACGAGAGACATTCGATTCGGCTTACAGTCCCTGTAGTGCAATTTATACGAACAATATTTTAAAGTCCGACAATCACTGAAACTTCATTAAGAACTATTTGAATGTGCGTTCAAACAATCTACAATGTGCCGGACCCTCCGGAGTTTTACGATGATGAATGATTTTTAGTTATGACTAAAGAAAATTTGGCATATGGTGGAGAGATCGTAATTGTGAGCGCTTAACGATGTCGGATCATATCAGCAATCATCTTAACTGTGCATTGGCATTTACAGTACCAGTACCAGCTTATGAATGAAAAATCATTTTAGCTATGGACCCCACACTCTTATATAGACTATATAGAAAATATTAATAGCCTAAACATGCACCATTATGTATGAAAGTAAAACGTACCCAAATTACTAACTTATCCTCATCTTTACCAGCCCTTTGTCTCCATAAAGGGACTGTTCTGCTTGGGTTTGATATGAAGACCACAAAACACTTGTTTATTTCATTTGGGTGTTTGTTTGTCACGTCCTGGGCCAACTTGTACACATTTTCTTCACTATAAAAAATTCTTGGATTATATTAACAAATCTATCGACACTATTAGAAATAGTTTCATAGATATACAGTGTGTTTGGTATACGAACCGACAAATTATCTTTGAGTAATTGTGGAGACTATTAAATGTTTTTTTATTCAAAACCGCAATGGTCTAATAGCTACTTTTTCGTTTTTCTGCCGAATTCACTGTAATTGTGCATAAATATCGTTACAATTTTCTATTTGTCGAGATAATAACACAAAGTGGCTGGGTTCTGTAATGCATGCTTAATCAGTTGTACAAACCACCTTCCAAAGTCGTAAAATTGTGAGGAGTGAATAAAACATTTGACATCCAAAATTCGAGTACAAAAAACTCTACATTTTTTGGAACTTAGTTTAATTTAAAAAAGTTATGTGGTTTACTATCTTTCTAACGATATGCTACATATCACAGAAATAATTTGTTATGTGGTCGAAATAAGAGAATGATTATTTTAAGATTCACGATTAGGCATTTATTTTGTGTTATTAGCGACAAACAAAAAGGTATAACGATATGCATGCCTAAGTTCGGGAAAGGAATTCGGCATAAGATCGAAAAAATATATCTCAGTAGCCGTAGCACTTCAAGCATTGCTATAACCAATAAAAATCATTGAGATCGATATGGGTGTCACATGAGACATAAGTCTCCCATGTGACACTGGTATTTTATTTTCGTGATTCTTGTCATTGCTTGTCACTTTTGTAAAGTTATTTGATTTCAAGACGGGCGATGTTAAAAGGTTCTGAATAATGAAGGAAAAAGTAAGTATTTTCAAGCAAACTCTTACATTGTCATCTGCCATTTTGTCGAACGGTGAAAACATTTCTAAACGCGTTATTTATTGTCGCATGATCTTAGTTTCACGACATTTTTGCCATCATACCGCAGCTCTAAGGCCTTATTACGCGACACACCTGTCTAAGAAATAGAATGATGTGTCATAGTTTGGAGCCAATGCAAGAGCTCTTACCCATATTCTTGGCAGGTGAACGGCATTTTTGATACCAGTGAATTTAAGACATTCACAATAGGACCACGTCTTTTACGGGAGCTAGGTTTTTGAGTTAATCTTGTGTTTGTAAATGCGCTTTAAAAGCTCTGGTAATCAAACCATATACATTGAAAGTTTCATTACACAGCTTATAAATAATGCAACAATAAGTAAATTTTCATAATAACACATATACCGAAAACAACAAGATCACCAAGATATTAGCCGAAAGTATCTACTGGGCTAATTCGAATTCTTAGATAAAAAGATACGATGCGTAACAGTATGCACCAAAGTGTCGCGTGTGTAGGTAAACAGAGATATTTATTTGCCAATCAGATTTGAAAAACTCGAATATGACACGTTCCTATAGCAATAACTAATTTGTCGATATAATGATAGTTTACAGTGAGTGTTGTCAAGATGTTGCTGAGGCTTTGCAAGTATACAACGTTTTCCTGGACGCTTACTTCGAACAATGTGACAATTTCTATAAAAAGTATTTCCTTCAAATTTTTGATAGCAATATTATTATATCGCTAAATACGCTGACACGAAAATTTCATAGATTATCACAACCATTTTACTGTATACTGCACGTATAAGAGCGTTGTCATGCACATTATTGCATCATATGAAAACATAACGTCAATATACAACGTACGACTCTAAAAGCATTATGATGAGTTTTCTATGAACATAAAGCTGAGCAAAACAGACGACCACGACAATACAAAATTCGTTCATCCGCATACCGTTCCACAACAAACACAGCACACTTTTCCATAGCTGTAGCACAACTACTGTTTTACATAATACACTACACGTAAAGGGTTATAATGTATTGGAAAAAATAACTATTAATATTTAATTAATACAATGTTATCGTGTGTGTACGTTAAACGGCGTATTTTCATAAATTCGTTCGTTCCTTCAGTAAGCGAACTACTAATAGTCTTGTCATTTTAAATAAGACTAATGTGGGGCTGTCTAAATATCGTAAACACATTGGCAAAGTCCTACAGAGTAAATCTGTCATACGATGCTGTATTCTTTAACCGTGATACAAACGTCGCTCCCAGGCCGATTCTTAGCAGGAAAAAAGTGCGGAAGCCTGATTGACGTCCATCAGTCTCATCTATAGGCGAAGTTAATTTGTCATGAACTTTTATTGATGTTAAAAAGCTGCAAAAGTCTGAGTTCATAAGCTTTTCCCAAAAATCCCTGATGCTTTCTCCAAGGAATTAATGCATTGTCTAGAAAATAGTCTAAGTTTTGCCGGAATCAGTTGCATGATTTGGAAGATATTTTAGTGAATATCGACCGTTTTCTAGTGTAAGTTACTGTTTTTACGATATTTGCGTTCGCGCAGCTAATTTTTTGGTTTACAAGATATTACTACTAAATGTTTTTCCATTAAAATACGATATTCCATGGAACAACTACTAAGGGAGTTTAAACTAAATCCACACTGTCTTTTTGTATTTGTTATTTGATCTTTCATACTAACACTAAAAAAACAACAATAACCACCTAAAACGAATTAAAACAATTCAGAAACATTTGAAAAGTAATATGAATAACGAGTATCCCGCATCTCTGCAATTCCTATGACCATGACGATGCGAAAAGACCCACTACTGACGTTGGTTTGAATCTGCCGTTGTGGTGCATCATATTTGACACGAGAATGGCACAAACTTCCTTAGCCCCCAATTTCTTGTGATGGCCTTGTTGATGCCGGATCCTCATCATTGACTGGAGGACTAGCTTGCTGAAGTTTGATATCCTCCACTGTGTCGGCGAATTAAGCTCCTTGCCGACTGCGAGTCTCTTTTTTTGGCTAGGGCGAGTTGCTCCTTGCAGATGTGCTTGTCCCTACGGCGACAGATTTGATGTTTGGCCAGCCCTGTTGTCGCCGTCGTATCTTGCAAGAACTACTTCTGGTCCCGGGGAACAATTTACCATCTCCATTTGCAGAAGCTGAGCATTGCACTCAGTGGTTGATCTCTGCATTACATCGTGTGTAGTAACATGCGATAGACGATCCGCCCGGGTTGATGGAGTTGTCGCATATTCTTCCCATACCTACAGATAGCACTGAAAGCCTGACGAAAAGGTATACGACATGGAGGGTAATAAAATTTGGGAGATAAAGCTATTGTACCTGGCCGAGAATTGCTACGTCTAAAAAGGGATCAACTCCCCAGCCACGGGTATTGAAGTAGAGAGTTGTACCTCTTTCAGCGTGGAAAGAATGACCCAAGGATTATCGTCCATTACGGAGTTGGATGATCACCTCGAGTAAAATGTAGAAGTTGCTCCTCAGAAAGCGAGAATTTGGGTGAGCCGACTGCTCTGCTAGGACCAGATGCTTGGGGTGTTCTAGTCTAACAATGGGAGTTGGTGGGTGGGAGATCCGATTTCGGAAAAAAACAGCAGGGGTGAGTTTGTGGAGCCTTAATGAACCACAAATATATATTATACAGGGTGTTTCACAACTTATCCGACAAATTTTAACCACATATGCACTCTTACGAAAGAAGTTGTTTTCTCAAAAAAAAAAGTCATAAAAGTCCTATAGAAATCGAGATAATAAAATAATACAGCTTAGCAGTTCAATTACTTATAAAAGCTGTTCAAAATTATTTCCATTGACTGCAATGCAAGCTTTGGCGCAAATATCCACTAGCACGTGCATGTAAAACAATTGAACTAAATGTTTCGTGACGTGGTATGTGCCTATTCGAAAATCGGTGTGCATACAAACGAGAAGCCGCTCGCGAATTTTGCCCTCCTTCTCCGTACGCTAAAACAATGCCCATTGTGCCATGTTTATTAATAATTAACTAAAAACATAAGCTCGCAAAATACTTTTTTATTTACCTTCACAAAAATCGACCGTTTTCCATTCAGATCACCCACGATACATATTAATCCTTATTTACATGTTCTTATTAGTATGAAAAAATAAAAAATTCCTGGTACAACATTTGCTACAATAAATTATTAATGCGTGTTCTAATCTCACGATGATGAACACAAAACACAGATATTTATTTTTCAATTTATTATTGAAACTCAGGTTTATAACTTAATTTCTGTACGACTTTTATTACATTTTTTTTTTGAAAAATCAACTTCTTTCGTAATAAGTTGTGAAACACTATGTATACATAGCTAATGAACAGAACAACATAAACTGCGGGAGTTGAGCTATGGAATTAAGTTAATTTTGAATTCCTATGAACTTGTTTGTGCCAGAGAAATACGGAAATTCCAGGATTTGGATTACTAAACTGTGGGAGCTAGGGGGCAAGTTTGGGGGTTGGAAGTATACCTCTAACAAAACTCTTGTACTCACCCAGAAGGACGAAATAACTGCCCATACACTAGAAGCAACTGCGACTATATTACCCCGGTATTTTTATAAATGCAAGCCCCCTCGTATAGTGGATGGAAGTTTTAAGGACAAATGTATGTGTGAAATGAGTCTAATAGATGGGTAGAGTTAGCGAGGAAGTGTATTACCCATCCCCAATTTGTTACTCCTACATTCAATTTAATTTTCAAAACGATCTGAACCCCCTGAAACGTCAAAAAACGAAGTTTGAACGATTTTTATTTTTTTCGTTTTATAGCTTTTTTCTTTGCCGTCACTAGGCCGAATTTCAAAAACTATTCCTTAGCATAGCCATAACCTTGTGCGAAAATTTCATCAAAATCCGAGCTGTACTTCTCAAGTTATAGACGGACCAAGGAATGTCGACATACCGACAGACATGACGACCGGTTTTTCCTTATCTCGATGTCATATAACACCCAAAAAACATGATATCATATTTACGAACTTTTTCGCGATTACAATATTTCCTTGAAAGCGGCCGGCGTAGGAAGTTTTCCGGGTGTTTGCTAAGGAATCCTTTATTCATGAGTAGGAGTATTTAGACAAATAACTTAGACTTAATCCTTTCTGAAT